AAAGGTCAGTCAAATACATTTTCAGCTGTTATGGCTGCCGAAATGGGGAGCTGGTCCCTTCAAGCCACTGCATGGAAGTCACACCTGAGTCACACACTGTACTAGAGGGGTGAAGGAATGCTTTCCATTTAGAGGGGTGAGAGACTTAATGGGAGAGGAAATAATGTGGAACAGTGGGCATTGTTTTCTTCTTTAAAGATTTATTACTTATTTTTGAGACATTCATATATGAGTACTGTATTTACATTATTTCTACCCCTTTTTCTTCCTCCAACTCCTCTTGTGTCCCCCCAACTACTTCTCAAATTCATGGCCTCTTTTTTTTTTTTTTTTCTTTTAAGGGCCAGGTGGAATTTATTACAGAGTGATATAAGGCACTTTCAAGGATGAGGGGTGCAACGGACAAGGGACCTTTGTAAATTACATGAGAGTGAAAATGGCCAGAGAAAGCATGGGGCCAACCTGTATTTTAGGTAAGCCTTATGCTATTTCTTTTTCCTTCCTTTCTTTCTTTCTTTCTTTCTTTCTTTCTTTCTTTCTTTCTTTCTTTCTCTCTCTCTCTCTTTCTTTCTTTTTCTTCCTTCCTTCCTTTTAATTAGAAAAAGTCTTATTTTACATATCAATCCCATTTCCTTCTCCCTCCCATCCTCCCATGCCCCCCACCGACCCCATCCCATACCCCTTCTGCTCTGCAGGGAGGGTGAGGTCTTCCAACAGGGATCATCAAAGTCTGTCAACAGTGGGCATTTTTATGCATATCTGATAGGCAGGTTACAGAGGGCCTCCTCTTACCTTCCATTGTGATGAAGTTAGGGCCCTCTCTTTTGAGCAGTATACCCAGCAGGATGGTCTGACCAGCCAGACAATTGCAGTCCTGAAAACATCAATTGGCATAAGGAACTGGGATGAAATGAGTATCAGTAACCATAGGATTTAATTAATAATAAAACCACATGATACAGAGAAGGAATAGCCTGACACAGAACTGAAGAAAGATAAGTCATTGATACAATAAAGATAAGATGACATTACAGACCTATTGGTCTGAGATGCCTTGATGGCAGAGAGTACATAAGTCAGCTCCTGGATATAGCAGGATTCGGTGACCAAATTCCAATAAACAAAATAACTGACGGACAGATTCTACAGTGTGTACAAATATTAATGTACCACTACCTGAGACTTGGCCAAGTCACTCTCTTCCTGGTTTTACTCATTTATAAGTGGGAGATCATGTTACCGTCAAGGCATATGGAGAGGCACATGACAGGAAGGGACATCATATTGATTATTTATATTTCAGGACACTGTTTATATTCTCTGTGACTGCTATGTGATATTCTTGTTTATATGGATTAATGAGAAGCTAGCCACGCCTCGAAGGGAAGTATCTATTTTACATGCTCAAATCTGTGTGGCCAAACAAGACCCAGTGTTTACAGCTCCATCGGTAAGGCTTCATTTCTTTTTATAAGCGTGGATAAACTCAAGGAAGATTAATAAATTGCTAGAGCACTCATGTGGGTAAATCACATCAATGTTTCCTCAGTGACAGGAGAGACAAAGCACTCAATGAAGCTAAACTCTGGGGCATGGAGCAAAGAGAAAAAAGAGCGCTGAATGAACAACCAGAAGAACCCGTAGACCAACATCATGGACTCCATGTCTTTACTGCTTCACACAACCAACTGCAATCTGAGAAAGTCTTAACATCTGCACCTTCATACATCCACACTGACTCTGGCCCAACAGGACAACTTTACACTGCTTGCCCTGGGTACAGACCGGCCCACCTGTTTCTCTCAGAGGACACAAAGACACCTGGCCTGACTGAGAGGTCCTGTTCTGGCAGGTGTGATTACATCACACTCACATTCAGTCTCTGGAGGATGTCATGAGTGGGTTTGTTTCTCCACTCGGTAATGGTGACATCTGGTTCCTGTCTCAGCTCAGGAGCATCTACAGTACTGCTCTGTCGTTTGACTTTTGAATGCTTGGGAAATTCTAGTTCTTCAAAGCTCTTAAACTCTGGAAGTCTGGAAATCAAAAGAAAACATTTCAGATTTCCTGCTTTCTTAATGTAATCACAAGAAATGCAAAAACCAAGTAACTCAAGGAGACTTACTTTTCTGTGTCACTAATTCGTAGAAAGTCAAGCTGTTCTACTACAGCTCCAGATATCAATGTCTGAAATGTGATGATTCAAAATGTTTACATCTGTCATGCTATACTGTATGTTCATACTTTTCTATAAGCAATGCTGGTTTATTAATTATGACCCTGAAGTGATTTGCTAAGTGAGCATTCCAAATTCAGAGATTTCTACATGAAACAAATGAAAACAGAACATAAGCATCTACAAATAGACTGTATACACTAAACAAACAACAAGTCCATGAGTCATATTAAATAGGAAAGCTACCACAAGATGGTCTCTCTGTGGTTTTTTTTAATTATAAGCATTTATTTAATTATTACAGTGTTGGGGATTGAGCCCAGAGTCTCCACTGATTGTTTAAACTGCCATCTTTATATGCTTTATTTTAAAGTAGGTACTAAAATATTTTAGCATTTATTAAACTTTTAGAAAATGAAGTACTAAATTGTTTTTAGGAAAGGCAATAGATCCTGATATTGCAATATATTTCAGGGCCATCTAGAGATGTAATAAACATCTTTCCATTTTACAGGATCATGAAGGTAATGATTATCTAAGCAATTTCTTCTCTGCATTCTGGCATGTGGCAACCCATACTTGGTCATTTTATATAATAGTTGGCCAAACTAAATGAGTCTAAATTCAAACATATTTTTTGCTTGTCAGAGCATCATGGTGAATAGTATGAATGAATGGCCATACATGTTTTTTAGCATTAATTATCACTTCTAATAATCTAGAGAACTGTCAGAAAATAAGCTGTAAGTTGCTATTATTATTTTTTCATAATACTTTATTTTTTATTTGAATTAGAAACAAGATTGTTTTACATGACAATCCCAGTTCCCTCTCCCTTGCCTCCTCCCCTACCCCCCCCCCCAACTAATACCCTACCTATTACATATCTTTTCTGCTCCCCAGGGAGGGTGAGGCCTTCCATAAGGGGTCATCAGAGTCTATTGTATCCTTTGGGATAGGGCCTAGGCCTACCCCCGTGTGTCTTAGTTGTTATTATTATTAAATTATATATTCCTATTAAGATTATCTTACAAATACCATTTTATTCAGGTTTTCTTCAAAAATGAAGAAGCTGAGGGCAGGAGATAATGCTTTTGGTGGCAAATGAGCATCATTTCACTTGCGGAACTGATGAAAGAGGAACATCCACAAATACACACTTACAGATGCAGGGAGGACACACAACACAGGCACACCATTCTTCCCTGTAAAGCATGGATAAGAAAGCCAAATGGGCAACCCTTGTGTACATTTCAACGTTGCCCAACTGTAAGCAGACTGCTCTTAGATTATGAACTTTCTGAGGGAAGGGTCTTATCTGTATTTGTTGAATGGTGTTTCCTAACACAAGGGCTCATATCTATAAATCTTGTTTTATGGCAAAGTAATTTGTTAGACAAATACTTATTGATCATATACAAGCATTATATTAGGTGCTAAGGATTAGCATGAAAAAATATATGAAATCTTTACTTCCTTGAAGGTGACTGTGGTGGTTTGACAGAAAATGGCCTCCAAGAGAGTGGCACTATTAGGAAGTGTGGCTTTGTTGGAGGAAGTGTGTCACTGTGAAGGCAGGCTTTGAGGTCTCTTTTCCTTCAGTACGACAGTCAGTCAACTTCCCATTGCTCCAGCACCACATCTGCCTGTACGCTGCCATGCTCCCTATCATGATGATAATGGACTGAACCTCTGAAACTGTAATCAAGCCACCCGATTAAATGTTTTCTTTGTCAGAGTTGTCATGGTCATGGTGTCTCTCCAACCAAACTAAGACACCTTATGACTATGTCTATGAGTTGGATACTATAAACTTAGTAAACATAAGATGATGTAATTGCAAAGCAGAAAAATAAATGCTAAGTATAAATAAGAACAGTAAGGGAGAAGGGTACTAGGGCAGAGGAATTTAAGGAGGCAGGTTAGAAAATTTCTCTAACAAGATAACATGTAAATCAAACAATGGGAAGAGGACTGCAGTCAGTGCTCAGACTGGAGGAAGACTGTAGTTAGTGCTCAGGCTGGAGGACTGCAGTCAGTGCTCAGACTGGAGGAAGACTGTAGTCAACACTATGGCTGGAGGAGGACTGTAGTCAATGTTCACACTATCAAGCTCAAAGATCCCAGGTCTGGAGCATGCATGGTGAATTTTAGAAGCAATAAAGAAGACAGTGTGGCTGAAATACAGTGGCTGGCAAGTTGGTAGAAAGCCAGGCCCATGATGCAGGTGCAGAACTTACAGATCACTTCATTTTTGTTGTGTGAGAAAAAAAAGTCACCGGAGGTTTAAAATCCATGTGACTGCCAGTGACAAGTGAGTACGACAAAGTGAGAACTCAGGAGATGACAGAAAAATCTATGAGGGACAACAATAGCCTGCATCATGATGTCAATGCTAGGGGGAGTGAGTTTGAGTCTGGGTACACCAGAAGGTACAGACAACAGGGTTTAGTAAGTAATTATTATGTAGGGTATAAAAAAGTCAAAAATTAATAAATTCTTAAAGCTAATAATAATATTGAAAGCATACAAATGAGACTTTTATTTAACATCTTATATTTATATAGCCTACTCACCATTATTGTCTATTTCTGTCCATAAAGTAAATGTTTACCTTAAGTTAACTGGCTAATGCCAAATCCTATTAATACTCTATAGATTTCAATTTTAAAACACCACTTGGTATTAGAGGGTATTAAGTTAATTAATAACACTTGATTTTTCTGGAAGAGGATGTATAAAAGGAGGCAACCATATTCTGGCTGGGGAGCAATGGATGCTTCTGTTCATGAATTGTGTGGGCAATGCTGTGATGCTTTAATGGAACAATGATTTCTCCTGGTTGGATGTTACAGTTCAGTAAGCAAAACAGCATGTGACCAAAATGCCTGTAAAACCCCAAGGTTATAAGCAAGTCATCTGTCCACTTATGAACTGTTTTTCTCAAATACCAAACTCAAGTTAAGGCACCAAAGTCTAAAATTCTGCATAGATAATAGCCACTCAAGCACCTGACTGGTACAGCTGGATAAACCAAGGTGATGACAACAGAGTAAGAAGGCAAGCACAGAATAAAACTTGTTAAACACATTGAGAAAGAAACATGGCTGCCCTGAGATTAGCTGTCCATAACCAGAAACATGCTGAGGTTTAGAGGCCTACCTGTAGACGATCAACATGAACTTTGACTCCTCCAATAACTCCCTTTTTAAAGGCTGCCAGCATGTCTAATATGGGGTTGAACCTGCTACCTCTAGAAGAAAGCAAATAAACAAAACAAGCTTATTAACAACAGAATGAGAAATTAACAATCAAATATTTTCTATATATGCGAAAGAGCTTGCAACATGCTAAGAAGAATACAAAAATACCAGGAAGCTCTGTATTCAAACATTCTGTTAGCAGCCAGAAGGCAAGTGAAGCTTACTTTCTAAAAATCTATGTTTTACTTTTAGTTATGTGATATTTATTCAGTGTGTGTGTGTGTGTGTGTGTGTGTGTGTGTGTGTGTGTGTTTGAATGCAGTATTCACTGAGACCAGAAGAGGGCATGAGATTCTCTGGAGCTAGACTAACAGGTTGTTGAGAACCATCTGGCCTGAATGCTGGGACATGAACTCAGGTCCCTGCAAGAAATGTAAAGGCCTTTAAGTGCTGAGCCATATCTTCAGCCCCTCAGCTACCTTCCCATTAACCTACCTTATGTTGTCTTCCCGGATGAGAACGAGGAAAAGTGGGCGTCCATGCATTTTCCAGTATTGCTTAATGAACTGTAGAGCATTCTATCAAAAAATTCGATAGAGGAAGGATGTCATAGAGCAATGTCTGAAGTTGCCTGGGGTCATTAACTGAGAGGCAAGCACCTGTGATACTTGTAACAGTAATAATCTATCCCTGGACAATTCAGGCTACTCAGAAGTGTAGAATCATTTTCATTTTAAACTTTGTTTTGAGGCTCTGACTTATTCATGCCTTTCTCTACCCCCTCCCTTCATATTTCTTTCTCTCCCTAAAAAAGTACAGTTCATGAATGAATGGAGAAAAAACTATCCCTATGTTCTATTATTCAGGAGACCATCACGACCTTTCAATATGGGCTGGTATCAAGAGGCAGATGAGAATGACCACGGTCTGTGGAAACCATCAGTTATGTGTCGAGAGTGCTTTGAGTAAATATGTATTCTCATCAACATCACATAAGTTTTTACCACATGTTCAGCACTTTTTGAGTGTCTTTCTTACATTAATTCATCAATTCCTCAGAACAGCCCTTTTATTATCTGGTTATACAGATGAACAAGAGGTGCACAGGTGCTAAGTAACTTGCCTGAGAACACACAGCTGGTTAACAAGGATCAAAAATTCCACAGATTCGGTCTGGTCCAGGTGTTGTGGCTATAGTTCTAAGCCTCTCTGCTCTACATACAGAGTAGAGTGGAAGAGATCATAACCCATTTAATTATGGGTTAGTTGAAGTCCTACTGGACAGTCTTCACAAACAAAATTACTCTGCTAGTTCAATTTTTGCTCAAAAAAGAGATGAACTCTTAGTATCTTAGAAGCACACTTTTAAACTGTATCTTTTTCATTTCCAGAAAAGTAATTTTACTTTTTAGCATGACCAGAATCACAAAACTCTGCCAAGGTGCTGCTTTACTCGGCATCAGCCAGGAACTCTCCATTTAATAACACCTGACACAAATCAATGTGAACAAAGTCATCTCTTTTCACAGCTACCTTTATGTCATCTATCAGCAGCAGAACGTCCTGAGACATGTAGAAGTCACTAAGGTCAAAGATGATGGGGTAACAAACCACGGTCTTTCCTAGGATGCGGTAGATCTGCAAGGGGAAATAGAGAGCAAATAGATACAAAACACAAAGGTGTAGGATCCTAAGTCTCAACCATAATTAATACTGATCCTCATTTCTGAATAGACAGAGTAATAGCTTACAAAATCCATAAAGCATTAATTTTAAAGTTTTGTTTTTGTTAGAGTCAGTATGATGGCAAACATTTCTAATAAGGTTGAAAAGCCCTATGCTTGAGTAAATATTATTATAAATGCTTTACAAAGCTTAGCAATGACATGAAATGAGATGTTCATTTATTCCCAGAAAGCATCAGTAATACGACACTCAATAAGTAAGATTTATGTGCAGAAAATAATAATTCAAATAACTCCCTCAGGCACATAATGAAATGTGACAAGGGATGGCCAGAGACCAAGCATGACTTCAGCATGCAGAATCACTACTTAAAGCTACTCCATGAGGAAAGCGCACTCACCTTTGATGTACCAAGGCAGCCAATGGGCCTATCTGGCCTTCCAGACAATCCTAACTTTTCATTGATACCCAGATGGAAATAAGCCTGTAAGATACAAGTCCCTTGGCATATTAATGACATTTTTAGAAAAAAGATGCAGCAGAAGCACCATATAGGATCAACAAACTAGCCAAAGAATGGTGGGTTTGGGGTAATTGAGTTTTTGAGAGCAAAACGTTTTAGATTTACTTAGCAACATTCTAAACTGTGGCACTGTTATCAGATTGGTGGAAGTGTACAGCCTGCATGGTTTTGATAAAGCAACTCAAAAGAGATATGTGCTTCCCTTGTCATTACAAAAAAAAAAAAATTCATCCACTTAAACTTAAAAAAAAAAAATCAGTGCCACACATTGTCCATCGAGTTTCTACTTTCAAGTATATTTTATTAAAATGGAATTGTGTTTTTACTAATTGTTTTCTGATAACATGAATTTCAAAATACTCCAACCCAAAATGTTGGTCTTGTTTATTTTCAGACTCTCTGCAACAATTATTTGACTCTGGTATATTTTGAAAGGGATGTGTAAGCCATTGCATAAGCCTAACAAAAGATTCTTAAAGGACACAGGTTAAACATACATTCACAATATATGCAGGATCAATGGGTACACAATACATAAATGGTTCCTATAATTTATGATTCTCTTGATGTCCCAGTTATTGAGCTTATCATGGCAATGCTCCAGATGATGCTGAGACAGAAGCACTAGAGGACAGGAAGGGCCACACAGTACAACATCAATGGCTGGAATCGTTATCAGCTAAACACATCAAACCAGGAAGCCCCTCCATTCCCTGATGAAATTAGCTCTCCATTTTGTTATTTAAAAATATTTCAAGTAATATATTTGGATGGTATGCAATTGTATCTATAAATAATTTCTTAGACTTGCTTGATCAAAGAGACTGTACTTCTTTTTGAAATGTAATACCTTGCTTTTCACCCTCTAGAAATATATATCAATTTACATAGGTCTTTTATGTCAGCCTTTTTTGGGTTGAAATCATATTTCATTTTACTTTCACACTACTGTATTAAAATATTTTTGGGTCATTTTTCTAGTGTATTAATGTAAATATCTCTATTTTTCATTTGTTCCCCCTTTCACTGAGTATTTGTCCTTTTTGTAAGATAAAAGGCTTTATCCTTTGAAGTAAATATTTATCCAGTTTTCAATGTTAGAAAATCTGAGGATTACATAGTAGGGAAAGCATCATTCACTGACTGGTGTTTCAGTATTAATATATTTTTCAACTAGGAAATTTCACAACCAGCTTTTATGTCACCAGGTTTTTATGCTTTATATACTGAAATCTGCCACTCATCTGTAAATTGCTTGTTTGAGCTGGTATCCTAAATACAGCCTTTCCATCTCAATAGGCTATAAAATATATTACTCTATTTTGTCTTGTAAGTGATTTTATATTTAAATCACTTTAAAATACTTAAATGGGATTGGCAAGATGGTTCAATAGGGAAGGTACCTGCCTCCAAGCCTAAGAACCAGAAATTGATGTCCTGGGTCCCACATGATAGAAGGAGAGAACTACTAACTACAAGTTGTCCTCTTACCACCACATGTGTGCTGTGGAATGTAAAATAAGTAAGTAAAATGTAGTAAAAATTTAAAGTACTTAAAATTTTAATCTGCCTAGAATTAATTTGTTTTTCTATTTGATGAAATTTAAAAAAAAACCCTAAATTTTTCTAAATGAATAATCAAACTCTTCCTATACAATCTGATTGTGATTCAAACTGTTGGCAAATAACATCATCACATACAAAATTCCTATGTATCAGAGTCTTTCGTATGTCAGTGAACTCTTGTGTTGATTTCTCCTTTGGAATGGTGCACTCATGAGCAGAGTGTTCCCTGGCACTGTGCCTGGCTCATGGCTGGTACCCAGGGAACACTTGACAGATGAACAGGTGAACAAACTATTGTGAATGTCCTCCCAAGTAGTCTATTGTATGAACAGCAGGGACTTTAAGCAACTGCTCAGAAGAAATACCCAGCAGCACCATGATGCACAGGAGCATGGAGACTGCAGCACATGACACTAGATCCGACACTCTTTTCTGCAAATATTTTTACATTTTTACATTTACGTTTAGTCATGCATTGAAATTACTGTATGACTAAATTATGCTATATTTCTTTTGAGTAAGTAGTATAATCAATCAATCACACACTAGTTAAAATCAGCCTACTTAGGCTGGACTGCTATTCTTTTTTATAAAAAGATTCTCCGTTTTTTCTAAACTATGACAAGGAAGGACTATGACAATTAAGTAGGCAGTGTGTGGTAATACTGCCTCCATGTACATATACCCAGCGTGCTGAAATACACAGAAGTACTCCAACCACCCAGAAATACAGACATGCTTCAGATTGCATTGTTCTGTATTCTGACCACCAGGATGCACATCTCACCAGTCACTACATTACAAGCTTTAACCACACAAGCAAAAGCCCTGCTACCAGCTGTCCCTCCTTTAGTCCTCCTTAGTGTGCTGAAATAGGGTAAGGCTTCTCAGAGGAAAAGGAATGGTGGTTGGCATCAGATTATAGGCATCCAATTAAAATTAGCAAGAAGACTTTTTTCTTTTAAAAGACAGACTTATACTGGGCAGCTGTGTGTGTGTGTGTGTGTGTGTGTGTGTGTGTGTGTGTGTACAGATAATATGAATGCATATGTGCTAAACAATGTATCTTAGGGGAGGAAGCCCACATAGCAGCTGGTTTGGAAGACAGGTTGTAGCCACAACCAACAAATATTCTTCCATCCTGACACAAGCACAGAGAAGCTGGGTTCTTGGTCACAAGTTTGTCTTAAACCATATCCTACCAGCAAAGTATAAATCACTTGCTAACACCATTTTAAAACAATAAAATGTAAATCAGGACATGCTTCAGATCCTGTGTAATAGAATGTTTTCTATTGCTTCTGTGATTCCCCTAGCACTTTGTACAAATACCTACTATAGCTGTTTTCAAGGTGAACTATAATTAATTGTTTTTTTTTTCAATGTCATACATACCACTAGACTCAGAGGTCATTAAAGTGACAATCAGTGTTTTGCATATTCTAGTTGTTTGCTGAGGAAAGAAAAAAGCCGCATGCAGGCGATTTTTTCCCCCATCTATACTGACTGTCCTTTTACATATGAATTGCATGTCATCTGGTAGAAAATTATCTTCCGACCATTAAAAATGTCCTCATATTAATTAGACTTGAAGAATGAGATTTGGGTTAATTTGCTTTGAGGCCATACATATCAGGGACTAACCTTCGTTTTCTGTTCTCTAGCACTGTCAGTGAGAGACCAGCAAGTGTCTCAGGTGAAACAGCCTGTGCCTGGCTGTACTAGCACCCAAAAACACAGGTACCTCAGCACCATCTTCAGACTAGGTCTCAAAATCAACTTTGGCATGTAACTACATCAAACCCATACGTTATCATTTAGTTTCTTTAGACTCAACAAACCAAACATAAAGGAATTTTTCACCTTCCAAAAAGTAAAGCAGGGAAAAAACAGGGGGAAGAGGGCAGTGAGTATAAAAAATTATTTAAAATGAGGTTTTTAGGTGATATGTAGGAAAATAAAACTATAAATGATGATTTTATACATGACAACCAAAACTGAGAGTGATTTGTTATTTAAAATGCTTAGCCAAGTCTGTTAATTGATTTCAACAGGAAAAGAAATCTACAAGACCCATGAATATAATGTACAAATACACACAATTAAGGATTTTGTTCACTTTGTTTTTTAAGCTAACATATGAGAAAGTGGACTTGTTAACTTAATTATCAACTTTAAGATAGTGATCTTCTCTCAGGATTTAGATTTAACTATTCATCTTACTTTTGAATTAAGTCCAATAACTTTGTTTCAATACCTCTGCATGAGGGAGAAAGCAAAGACACAGAATCACTTACTTTTACAAGCTCCTGCTGGGGCCAGATCTGAATAGGCTCCACCTGCTGAGGTGTTTGAGTTTGAATGCCATATGTATTGAGAAAAACTTGAAGGCTAAACAGAGAACAGAGAGATGAGGTGGAGAGGGAGGAAGAGAGCTATTTTTAGACATTGCATTTATAGTTCAGGAAACGTGAATGAAGGAGGTAAAAGGGAACAGACAATGGTAACTTAGAACATATGGTAAATTTGTTACTATCTGCAATACACCATGTACACAGGAATCTGAAGGCTTCAATGGCTTCTTCCCCAAAGTATCAGGAGCTGTGGGGGTGGGGGCAGTCAGAAAGGTAGGCAATGATTTTGGTAATCTCTGTAATGTGTGGTACCAATTTCCCATATTCACATTTACATTTAAACATGAAAAGTGTTTTGTATGATATTTAAGGTCACACTAATGATATGCTTGAGACTCCAAGGTTCATTTCTACTGCCATCCTCAATATGATAAACATAAACCAATCATCCCCTCTCTTTCCCACAGAAGAATGCTGCATCTCATACCGTTGGCTTTCTGCTACAAGTGCTACATGAACCACCAAGTCGTTTTCCAGTGGACCCTGGAAGGCATAAAAAGAGGAAGGAGAAACATTGAAAAAGATTTGGTCATGGCCAGCTATAATGAGAATCAAGGACGATATTAACTATCTCCAAGCAGTTCATTAGAGTGATGGACACCAGCTGGATCTAAGCAGTGCCTTTCTTATCTTGCCCATCAGTGCCTACTAATCAATTTGATGGTATAGACAGAGTAACAGAACACCAGGAAGGAAAGTCATAAATCTCATCACTACTAGAGAGGCTCACTTGTCAGGGCTTTTTTGAATGATGCATAAGAGCAGTTTGGGGACTGAGAGTAATTTTCCATCATTTAACTCTGAAGGGAAGAGGAGGAACTAAAAATAAAAAGCTCAATTTATGTGCTCGCCATAAAAAATGACTGAGTTCAAATTGTTCATTTGACATCTTAACCATATCTAAGGTTATTCCCTTTGCTGTTAGCCAATTTT